GGTGCGGGAAATTAGAGGGGTTCTCCTTCGATAGCCCCGAAACGCACGGGCACGTAGTCAAAGGCAAAAGCAGGGAGCTGATACTGAGCTTGCAGCACTTTTTCACAGGTAGCTTGGAACAAAAATCGGCCTCTCAAACTAGCATGCAGCGATGGAAGATGAGGGATGCTGTTAAATGCCAGGGCTTGACAACACTGCTCTGCTGCTTGTTGTTCTTGTGCTACCTGACTTCCCAGCCTCCACCTTCCCTCACTTCCCTTCTACACACCCCTGCCAGCTTTATTTTCCCTATCTGGCAGATACCTAAGAAACCATACACTTTGCTAACCATACTTCCAGGCCTTCCATCCATAGGACCAAAGTGAACAGCCCTACCATTATTTTTTCAGTATCGATCCCATACTGCACAGCTTCAATTTGACTGAAGCACCACGCTGTCACGATTGTTCCACACATAGCTTACCAGTACCTCTGGCAACAGAACCAAGCACTTTGGCAAGTTTCAATTCTGTTGGTAGCATGCACTCCCAATAATGCCTTCATAAATGCACAAACAACAGTGCATCTTCTGGTCAGAGACAGAATTTGGAAAAAAAAAGTCTTTTAAAGAGTTATTAAGCAAAACTAGGGAAGGTTAAAGGCATTAGGAAGTGACACATTCAAGTGGAATTGATGTTTAGCCAAGCATGTAAAAAACCCAAAACTATAAAGTTGATATTTACTACTGAAAGAGACTGAAATGTTGAGGAGAAAAAGCAGAAGTATGGGCATGCCTTGCAGCATGACACAGCACACCGGTCTACTACAACAGCTCGGCATAACATTGAACTGCTGTGGCATTAGCAAAACATTTCAATGTGATCCAAATTCTGTCCTGTAGCTATGGAAAAATATATAAAATGAATTTCACTTTCCATATCTTAACTGGATCTTGGGCCAGTGCAACAGAATTTGCTGAGGTATTATTTTCTTAAGGGGACAAAGAGTGAGAAGATACACCTTGTATCTCCTCCACGCCTTGTACACGCTTCCAGATCAGTTCTGGTAAGTGCTGAACAATGGCTACGCTTGCCTCTAAGTACTCACTCTCCCTCAAAACTCTGTTCTCTTAAGGTAAGAAAAAAGACTCAAAATTATATTGCACCTACTTATACTGTTTAATCTCTCCCTCAGACTAACTCTCAGCTCAGGGATGCAGATCTGAATGGTCCCCGAATGACTGAGGTCCTCCTCTTGTTTCCAACATCTTCTGTATTCCTGAAGGAAAGTAATAAAGTTTAAAATATGTACCTAAAGGTAGGAGACAACTACAGCAGGGGAAAAAAAAAACAAAACGCCAAACCCAAGACAAACAGAATCTTAACCATTTTGTTTAATGTTGTACAAAAAAAATTTGGTGAGTATTACAATGAAAATTGATTAAAACACTGGTATCACACTGCCATACCACTACCTAAACAGTTGAGATTCACTTCTCTATTCATACAATAGAAAGTTTAGTGGCCTTCAGGAAAAGAATGACTTAAAAAAAAAAAAAATCCTTGTGTCACACTTATTCGTTTCTCTACATTTTAAAGCTGTGCTCACAGAGACGGCTTCTTCTATCAGACTCTTCAGGTATACAGGAATTCAGTTGTAAATAAAGTTGAACCTGAAATTGAAAGGATTATACCAAGTGAGGAATTTTCATGCCTTTTATTTAAGTGACATTTTTATTTAAGTGACATTAAGCAAATGTTTTGTTTCTGTCCTTGATAAGCCTCCAGTCGACAGAACAAAAGCATATTTTTTAATGACAGCTTGATAGTGTAGCAAGAAGCATCATTTTTAACAGCCAATCCTACACTAGCTTTGCACGACAGTCTCTTAAGGTTACAGAAAAACTAATTATTAACATTTCATCTCTGAAGAGAGCTTCATGGACATGCAAATACCAGTGAGAGTGACTTTTCCCCACCAGCAACTATTTCACAGCATCTCTGCTATCAGGGCCAACCTTCTATACTCCCAAGAGTAACGTGGGGACATACTCAACAGAACCACTAACTTCTCAACTAGGTTTCACAACAAACAGCGTTCACACAGTGAAAGTAATCATCCATCGCAACTTCCAGATGTCCATGCCTTGGGTGTGCCTGTCGCACTGGTACCGAGCTGGCATTTGGCTGCACAACTGTTTTGCTGGAGAACGTATCTGCTGTCTTTAGAGCAGGAGGAGGGGGAAGCCCCCCTAGCTACAACTGCCAAAACTGGGATTAGATAGAGAAAAAAAAATCCCACAGCATGATACAAGCCTGTTATGGGCTGACATTCTGCTAACAGACTTTTTTCATCAAAGCAGGTAAGTAACAGAAACCAGTGAGACTACTGAGCTCTGGAGACCCGAGGTACAAGCTCTTTTTGGGTAAGAAAGCCAAAGACCGTGTACTCTGGGAAAAGGAAGGAAAAAACACAGCTGTCCCTACAGATACTTGTGTTATAAGCACACTACACATACCACATTTAATCAGCACAAAGCTGTGATAACATGCACACCTCATTCAGTGCTTCAAACACACATCTTGGCTTTTGCTCTCGCGCTGTCCCTAACGCTTACGAGAAGCTGTTCCTTACCCTGCGTACAGCTTCATCCTCATTATCTTTCACGTTTTCCTTTGCTACAACTGCCAAAGAGCACTTTGGTGCTAGCAAGTTGCGATCGGTGCCTCTAAATTGTCCATCGCATCTTGTCTGAGGCAGATTCTAAGCTCTCTGGGATAGCTGCAACCTTTTCACAGTTGGTTTCTGTAGCACCTAGCCTTGCTCTGGTTTCCCATGGCAAATGTGTTCCCAAGAACCGTAATACAAATAAATCATAAGATACCTGCTCAAAAGTTGAGGAAGGCTGGAAATAATGGGTCCATATCCTGGTGCATTGTCATAGAGCTCAAACAACGGTGCGGCAACGAGCTTGTAATTTTTTGGGACTGCAAACAAGGCTAAAAACAAATGCAAGTTGATTAATAAGAAAAACCACCACACATTCAGCCAAGGCATCCCTGCTCCACACACACCTCAAAACAAGACCACTACATAGAGCACTGTAGCGGGTTTATTCTTTTTCCAGTTAAATATGGGGTTCATATGCTGTACAGTGATGCAGGAGCAGGGACAAGCATTTTCTAGGAATTCCTGTTCAAAGGATCACCTACCTTCAAAACTGACACCAGCATTTAACTTCTGTAGTGATCAACTATAAACAACTGCAAGCAGATGAACACAAAACTTGCTACCACATTTCCTTGCATGAAATGCAAGCAGTTAGACATTGTTATAAATACAATCCTTTGTTACAAACAAACACTCACCCTTTTCTTGAAGCTGGACCAAGAAAAGCTTTTTGTGCTCTTTTGGTTTTGTAATGTGAGCTGGGATATAGGGATACTGGAAGAAAACCAACAAAAATTGGTTGTACAGAGCTTCGAAAATATTGCGTGATCTTAAGTGCTACTTTATAAATTATCAAGCACTGTGCGAGCTTTCAACATGTCATATATTGTTCTTTCATGGCAACAAATAATGAAAACCACTTTTATAAGAAAGTGCTCAGAAAGGAATGCTGTTGCTGTCACAACTATTGACAGGATCTAAAGAGGCACCAATACTCACGAGCAGTTAAAACGACCCAGTAAGACAGAAATATGTTACAGCAAACTGAGCAACTATTCTCAGTATTAAAGCGTTTAGAAATAGGGCAGCGAGACTATTTTATTTACAGGGCATCTGTTCCACACGCAGCAGTGCAAGAGTTTCCATTGTGGCTACAACAGGAATTTAAATGGTGTGTCTGGCTCAGCACGGGACTGGAATCTATGACATCCAGTGGTTTCTCATCCATCAGGATGGGTGTGAGGAGGGAGAGGAGAGTTTCCACAAGAAAAAGTTTGTAGTTTCTCTCTTGAAAAGGAGATGAAGTAGGTAAAAAAACAGAAAAAACTAACTGCTCTTGCGGCAGGTACTCAAAAAAGCCCAACTGTTAGGTTGAAGGCCTTAGGAAGAACAGTCTGTACTTGACTGAAGAAGATGAAAGTCAACATGAGCACTCACCTGTGGAGGTTCAAAGTTCGGTCTCCACCAGTTACCAATGCAGTCATCGATCACCCAGTCTTGCTGAACACCATCCTGACGACCCAGTATCTACCAAAAACCCAGTTATAGTCAATCTTTTTTAGAAAACATACACTGGAAGCATGAAGACTTGCTGTAAAATGGGTCTGATTTAATTCAAGAAGTGCTCTGGACCAGCTTTTAATAGAGTATTTTTGTATAACGTGACACTTTTTAGTAAAAGCCTCACCTGACAGAACAAGGACACTTTCAACAGCATTTCAAATTCCATGCTGTATTCAGTTGAACCGAGTCCCATCAGACCAAAAGGTGAAATGCAACATTACGCTACTCAACAGAATTAATTTAGGCTATGTGGAGAGCATGGAAGGTTAACTGGTGCATTGGGAAGACCATCTCAAAGGAAAGTCCTCATTAGTTGTGCTCCACGACATATTCTGTTGCCCATCTGCACACTTACTTGCCTGAAGGCAGCCAAAAAGCCAAGCTGCAAATGAACACAGGGCTGGAGCAGTGAGTAGGTCACACTCATCATGCAGATAACAAATAAAGCCCTAACTTTTCATTTAACTACCCAAGAACATCACAAAAGCATCAAAATAATAGAAGCAATAAGGAGACTAATGCTTTGGCTTATTCTGATAACTCTAAAATAATCCAACATTCTGGTATAGCAACATAACAAAAGAAAACAGACCTCTGTCATTAAGCGTTTGAGCCCTTCTACTTCATCTTCTCCTGGATTGAGTTCACCCCCGGGTCTGTTAAAATAATCAATGACGAAAGCTAAAGTTACATTTCATTGTATTTACAGACTTTCACAGGTAAGTTGGGATGTGCTTCCAGGCAGGGAGTTACAAATTCACTCAAGGCTCCTAAGTCAGAAGTTCCAAATCTAACTTTGCTGAATTTGAAGACAGTAGGACAGCTTTCACCAACACCGCAGCTACTCTATGTCCCTTAAAAAAAACCCCACATTATATAAAATACTTTAACTGCAGCAGGACAAAGTCTAACAATATACATGATAATAACTGGGAGACTTAAAAGGTAAAGTTTTAACAAGAATATAAAACCACCGGAAGTTGAAGAAAGAGTTACAAATACTGACCATATCTGTTCTTATCTCAAAAAAAGTGCTCACTGAAGCACACAGGAAGAAAATAAAACTCATGTGGAGAACCATCCTGCATTTGATGCAAGGTTAATGAAAAAACCCCCAAAACCCAACCCTAAGCCCACATTTTCACCATTACAGAGTTTTGCAAAACTTTAGAGTCTAGCCTATTTCGTCCACAAACATCCCCTAAATCAAGATGTCAAAAAAGAATGTGAATTTAAAAAAATCAATTTCTCACACACATAGAATTCAGAACAAACAATATAAATGTTAAAAACATAAGACCAAGAACACAAACATAATAACGTGAGACAAGTCAAGCCCACTGAGTTTAAACAAGAAAACGAGCACCACCACCATCACTACGATCACACGGTCCAAATACTAGAACTTCACTTCAGTAGTGATAACTACGAGAAGAACTGAGGCAATTTTCTCAAATTCAGATGCCTACCTTTCTTGCTGCACCCAGCTCACCCTGTAGTTTGTAAACAAATATCCTGCACTTAGTGGGGTTTATGCCTTGAGCTTCACGTTACCATTTCTGCAGCCACAGCATAACTATATTTAAGCATAACGGCTTTCACAATGCAAGTACAACATGTTAACTACTGATAACGAGTTTTAAACAGGATATTACCATAGTGATGTACCGTAACTAAGATTTCCAGTCAGTTCCACCTCTCTCATGAGCAGAGTCGCAAATACACTTTAGATGAAAACCGCACCATTCAAAAAAGTTTTCCCAGATTAAGTCTTTGCAACAAATGAATCTCATTCAAAACATCTATCAGTTAGTCACGCTTTAACCTGTAGCCTGTATGTTTAGTGGTCTGTGACAATAAAGTTAAATTAAAAGTTACATTCAGGAAACAGACACTTACAGCTTGAAAAAAGTTGTACCCAGCTGCAGTAAGAGCACGTGGGGCAGCCTGTGCTCGTGTACAATCAGCACCCCTTCCACTGTCCGCCTCATGCCAATCTTGTCAAACTCTTCCCTCATGCGCTGAAACCGAGCTGCCACGGAACTGTCCTTCTCATAGAGGGGTTCCTTCGTACCAAACGTGTAATTTGTCAGAGGATATCTGTAAGGGGGAAGAAAATATGTTACTGCAAAACAAGAAATCTAAAATTAAATCACTATGACACAGCATCCACCCTGAGGCAGAACCTTCTGTGCTTGATGGAACGGTAACTCATTCGTAGAAGTGTTTGTGATTTCCAGGGCCCCCATCACACGGAGGTCTGCACTACGATACATGCAAGCGCAGAAAGTCCTGCTGACCAAAACACTAGCGTGGTGCTGAGTCAAAAGAAGGAGAGGAGGCCAGAAGAACCAGCAGCAACTCTGATTCAACAACCACCCTCTTTGATCTCCACACCGCAGAGAAAAGGCTCTGAGAGGAGCTGGGAAAGGGACAGGAGAGAAAAGCTCTGCTGAGAAGGAAGGAAGCTGCACAGACAGCAGGTTGTTTTTTTTTTCTGCAGAAGTAATAAGAGCCTGAGAACTAAAGTGTTAGAAGTGGTTTTATTCTGAAGTGGGAAATCAGACATCTGGATCACATAAGAGCAGAAATGCAGAATGTGTAAGCGCAGGGCCGGGAGCCTGGGGTAAGATCAAGAGGGCGAGCAGATCACTCTGTTGAGCTAGGTGTTGGACCTCTGCATTCCCCAGTAACACCAAAGTAGAAATCTGAGAAAATTCTCCAGGTGAGAGGGACTGAGAAGAGTCAGAAAAGAAAAGAAAGCTTAGGCAAGAAATCGGTCAGTCCTAGACAGCACAGTCAGCAATAGGAAAGTGTTACTGTATAACAAAATCAGAGTAACACAGAGATCTGATGGCACCAGGCCTGGAGGGAAGTCAGGATCATCAGGGTAAGTCAAAAGTGAGAGGAAAATGGGTTCTGGGCAGAGCAGTAACGAGTTATCACTGTGGTTTTATTGACTTGTGGCATACAGCAATGGAATTACCAGAATACACAACTGATTTCATGGCAAACTTTTTCCTTGAGATGCATCTCACCATGTCTCCACAATACTTAATCGTGTCCAATTTAAGTAGCATACACTCTCCCCGCCCTCAAATTTTCCTCACTGTGGCAAAATCACAAGCCAGTTGCAGCTGTTTGAACTTTCTCATGAACACAAGTGAGCCAAAACAACCAGTTTCCTAACTGCAGATTCATTTATTATCAAGCTCCCCCTCCCTTTCATTTACATCTTAGAACCAGTGACATTTCTCTTCCCATTCATTTCCATTTTTAGATACACAAATCTCTTTATTAATAATCTACTACGCTAACCCATACTATACTAATGTGGGCACATTAGTCTGTACATCAAAACCCTCAGCCTATACTTTAAAAAAAAAAAAAGTCGATGTCAATAGCACAGCTTCCCGCTGAGTCTTTCTTTAGAAAAACTATAAAAACATTCCAATCTCTGAAGATCATATTTGAACTTCCACATGACTCTAACTGTGAATAAACTCAGCCAAAAAAAATACATGAGTCTGCGATTAATAACGAAAATTTCATACTGTGACAGTGAGAATTTGCTGTTTCTGCAAGTTGACAGATGTACGCATCTATCAGAGTTTACTACACGAAGCTAAAGTATAAGGTTTCTCATATAAGGCAAGTAAATATTTATTAGTAAATAGTTTTTATTTATGACAGCAGTAACATTTTCTCTGGCAGGAGCCACTCTGGGTGTTAAGTGTGGTGCCCTGCACCAGACAAGGCACCCCCACACCCCTAACCCCATCCTACTGACCACACCGGGGGAGCCTGCGCCCCACCTAGGCCTGTTTCTCTCTGCCACCAAAAGCAGAGCAGACCAGAAGCTGGATGATGCCCCTCACACCTAAATACCCCCCAGCTGTCCTACTTGGGGTTCACACCTCCCGCACCAGATGCTGCTTCTATACACTAAAGCACATACGCTAAAAGCTCCACATTCCCCCGATGGCTGACAAGCTTTCAGTGCCCCCAGTATCCTACAGCGAGGAGCTTCACAGCTTAACAGCACGGTCCTGTAAGGGGGGGCAGACCCCTCGCCTCGAACCGGGCTCTTTTGCCACCTTCCCCTCAGCCCCCCGGCCGGCGGAGGGCCCGGACCCCGGGCGGCCCTCGCTGAGGGAAAAACCTCCCGCAGGCTGCCCAAGGGCGGCCCCGGGGCTGTTGAGG